CGTGAAATTAACAATACCCCGAGCATCTTAGAAAATGTCTTTAATTCTTTGAGGAACAGGTGTGAAAAGTGCTTGGAACAAGGAGGGGGACACTTTCAGCAGCTGCTTTAATTTATTGTTATAACAAGGAGGGGGACACTTTCCGCAGCTCCTTTAATTGTTTGTTATTGTTATCACGATTATTCTTTAAAATAAAGTTATATAGTCATTAACGTTATTGAAACTGACAGCTGCTATACAGCTCGTTGAGAAATGAGGTTAAGTTGGTCGCTATAAGCTACTCCCTACGTCCAATGTGTCAGAGCCAACTTCGACCACGTTTTTATTTGAACGCTCGTTATTTTCACACTCTTAGTAATTACTTGGGACCATCATAGTTTTTAGTAAGATTTTAAATAATTTTCAATATTAAACTGTTTAATTGTTTGCAAACAGAAAAATTATTATCTATTTTGAAGACAACAGGGATAATCTGATAATTTTTGGCATGTTTATGTCAATTTGGAAAGCAAATTGGACTAACTATGAAAATGGTTACAACCAAATATTAATAAAAAGGAGAACCTTCATTAATATTGTATTTTCAAAATAGTAGATACCATAGAAACTTCATCAACTATTATTTATTTTCATGAGTATATTCTTAACCATAAAACCGAAATAATTATTTTTTAATATTTTTATGCGTGTTTAAGTTCTACGTAAAAATTATTAATATTACCTTTGTTACATCTTACATTTTTTGTAAATAAGAATGCCCATTTTGATTTGATACACCTGGTAGCAAAATTGCACCCACAGCAAAATCGATGAGATTATTTATATTCTATTGTGCTGAACAAATTATTGAATGCTGCCAGTGGAAATCGAATGAGGTTTAGAATTTAAAAAATACTGTTTTATGACTGGCTGATTACTAATTGCAATCAGTTTGATGTGTATGAAATAATACTACTATTACCTATGTTACATTTTAATTTTTTTTTATTATAAAAATATCAGTCTACGTTTGATATGCCTGAAAGCAAAATCGCTGTGGGTGCTCAAACACACACAACTCCAAGTATTCAGCGCCTATGAATGCATAAGCCAACATTTAAAAAAACAAGCATAATCTATTTTGAAAATACCCAAATAAATAAGAGTTCTTATAGGTAATTTGCTTAAATTATTATTAAATTAAGTGAAAGTGTTTCCACAATCATTAAGAAATTGATGCACTGTTAAGGCCCCCTCCGACTTAGGTACAATAACGACTGGAGAGGTAGTCCCTCTTCCAGAATTATGGAAACATCTATGTCGGAAACAACACTGGGGATGGTGTCTGACAAGATGGTTCCAAGGTTTCACTTCCACAAGCCATTTAAGACCCGAATAGAGGATTGAAGCAAATGGGAAAAACAGTTTGATTTCCTGGAAAGATGCAGCCTATTATGGTTTACGGACGGCTCCAAAACGAGATAGGTGCAGGAATATATGGAATCAAAGAGAGTGCAAGTTACAGTCTGGGGAGGTCTCCCGCTGTATTTCAAGCAGAAATTTTCGCGATAATGGCGTGTTTAGCAGATAATGTAAGTAGAGGTTATAAACAAAACTCATATCCATAAATTCTCTGACAGTCAAGCAGCAATTAAAGCTTTAGACAGACACAAGGTAAGTTTAAAACTTGTGTGGGGATGTTTAAAAATGCTGACTGAACTGGTTATCCATATAGTTAGTTTATGTTGGGGCCAGGACACAAAGGTATTGACGGAAATGAGACAGCGGATGAACTTGCTAGAAAGGGATCCAGGACAGAGTTCATTGGTCCGGAGCCCTTCTGTGGCATATATCCCTGGGGCTTCAAAATACTGGGCTTCAAGGCCAGGGCAAAGCCATGTGAAGGAACTTATGGAGTGCCTTTTGCAGAAAGAACAAAAGAATTGCTGAACTTGAATAAAATTCCGCTCAGATAAGTGACCGGACTTATACCGGGACACTGTAATTTTAAAAAACATCTGTATAAGCTAAGGCTTGTAGACAGTCCGGTCTGCAGAGGAAGTGACTTCTCTGCATATCGTGGGCCAATGCTGAGGATTTGCACGTAGTAGAATGACGCTCCTGGTAAAACCCTTTCTGGAATCCAAGGAGCTGAGAGAAGTGTCGGCAAGGAAGCTTTTGGACTTTGTAAAAATGACAATGTTACTTGCTGAATAGGACTGAATAGTGTGACAAACAATAGGCCTAATAAGGCCGCGGTGATATGGGACTTGAATAGAACCTAACCATAGGTTAAGAAGCAGAAAAATAATAATAATAAGAAGAAACAAGCCTCCTAGTTTTCGTCACTGCTACAGTGGACCCTGCTAAAGTATAAAATTCACTTACAACTTGTGGCTGAGTTTGGTCAAGCCAAAAAAAAGGAAAAAATATTTATGGAGTGATTAATCTCCAATTGTATTAATTAATTACAGATATTTATATTTCATAGTTTTCTATAGAGATGTTACGTTTGAACAATTAATGATTGCTAAATTGAATAACATATAAAATATCTTACCTGACTTAGAATTAACGAATACTAAAAGAGGGGAGGAAGCCTGTGGTCTTACTGCCTCCCAGGCCTCGTCCTGAATGGAGTGTAGCGCCGTTGGAGGCACCACACTCACTCTGGCGGGGCCCAGGGGGCACCAGGATTGCATATTTGGTCGACACTGGGTATGGACAGTCGCTCGACACCACAGACACCTCCAGTCTTGTAATCTGAAACAAAAGGTAATATTTAAGAATGTATGCATCGGAGATGGTTTAAATGGTGAATAAAGTTAGGTTACTATTTTATATTAAATTAAGATTTTATGATCATGTTTCAGAATTAATAAAACTGATATTTTGTCTTGAGATTCTTTTAGAAAAATATAAATATAGGGTATTAAAGATACTTATTACTTTAACAGTTGATAGAGGACTTCGTTTTTAACAAAAAAGTTCATATGAACATAGGTCGAAGATAACTTTCTAACTGAGATACAGGGTTCACTTTAATTTATTTTTACCGTTTTATCGTGATATCTAGAGACATAATGTTCTTTAAAAATGACCTACACACTATACTCTATAGGCACCAGTGACATGGGAGACAGGTAGTCAGTGCACCCTTTTAAACATAATTTCTACGCCTATTGTTTTTTTGAAATTTTAAACAAAAAGCTGTTCTTGCAAAGTTATCATAAAATTAAAGAGTTCTGGGTAAATGGCGTGAAACTCCTTTAGTGCACATAAAATTATACACAATTTTAGTTGATCCAGATATCTGTCTGTTTAGTAAGTGATGGGCTTGTTTGTTACTCATTAGTTGTTAGTAATTCATAAATAAATAACTGTCGTATATACGGGGTGGTCCGAATTTTATGCAGGAAACTTCGAGGGCAGATAGATCTTTTTAAAATAGTATGTGTTTGCCTTATAAACATAGGTCTGGAACGGCCTCGTTTTAGAGATACAGGGTGTTGAAGTTGTTAAAAAATATTTATTTTTTGTTTATATCTCCGGAATCCATCGAACCAATTTATATTCTAATGCACAAAATACGTAAAAAAGGTAACTTGAATTTTTTCCCTAATGTTCACCGTTCCCAAGTTATTCATACCAATACAATCCCCTTGTGGCAGACACTTCTAACCATAATATTACAAGAATATTTATGTTTATGCTTAAAAGTAAGTGCAATTTGTAAGCACATCAACAAAATTCTCTACACTCATCGCTTTCATCTTTTTGGATTAAAACAATATTGGGAAAATCACGACAAAGGAATGAAAGGCACAGAAATGAAATTTTGAAAGCATTTCACGACGATCCTCGGCTAAGTAGGTTCACGAAGAACGTCTCGACAACTTGGGGTGAGTAAATCGAAAATTTGAAAAGTTCTACGTAAGGATGGCAGAAATCCGTACCATTTACAACCTGTGCAAAATTTACTTCCGGGAGATGCAGAGAGACGCCTGAATTTTTATCAGTGGTTGTTTGAATTCTTACTAGAAATACTTTGGACCGATGAGGCTACGTTCACAAGGCGAGGGGTAGTGAATTTTCACAATCTGGATATTTGGTCACAAGAAAATCCTCATGAAATTCGGAGTCATTTCTAAACTTTCTAGAAAACCATCTATTTGAATTATTAGAGGATGTTCCATTAAATATACGACAAAATAGCTGGATACAAATGGATGGTGCTCCTGCGCATTTTAGGAGAATAATACAAGAATGGCTTAATGAAAATTATATGAGATGATGGATAGGTAGAAGACCAAATGCCAATGTCAACCATAATGGTGCAGAGGGTCCAGTGTCTTGGCCAGCCAGATCGCCAGATCTAAACTCCCTGGACTTCTATGTTTGGGGTGACCTACCTGAAAAGTTTACTCTACTCCAATAGATACTAGATCACAACTACTGCAGCGAATAGAAGACGGGTGTAATGAATTAAAAGAAAACCACCACATGATATTAGCTTCAATTAGTTCCATTAATAGAAGATGTCAGAAATGTATCGATGTGGGTGGTTCGCATTTTAAACAATTGCTGTAAATACGTAACGTTAATTTTGTTTCTTGTTTAGTTGTTGTTGCTTGGTAAATGTATTTTTATTATTATTTTGATTTAAATTGTTCTTATTTGTAAAGATAATGCCTCCAGGGAAAACTAAAACACACCAGGAACACTACCTCACAAGTGATGTGGAAAGAATTTTGTTGATGTGCTTACAAATTGCACTTACTTTTAAGCATAAACATAAATATTTTTGTAATATTATGATTTGAAGTGTCTGCCACAAGGGGATTGTATTTGTGTGAATAACTTGAAAATGGTGAACCTTAAGGAAAAAATTCAAGTCACCTTTTTTACGTATTTAGTGCATTAGAATATAAATCCGTTACAATAACTTGTAAAAAATACAGTGGCGTAGGTTTTTTTTATAAAAAGGGGGTGACCCCTGTCCAGTTGTACACCACTGGTTAAACCTTTAGAGCTCATATTTTAGGGAATGCAAGGCCTACTATCGTACATTATTTGTACCAAATTTTATTGAGATCGGTTAATAGATTCCTGAGATATAAACAAAAAATATATTTTTTTTAACAACTTCAACACCCTGTATCTCTAAAACGAGGCCGTTCCAGACCTATGTTTATAAGGCAAACTCCTATTATTTTAAAGAGATCTATCTGTCCTCGAAGTTTCCTGCATAAAATTCGGACCACCCTGTATATAAAAAATTGTATCTTCATTTTATTTTACTATAATATAAATTTATAATTATATTTTTAATTTCTATTTTGTTAATTTATATTTTTAACTATACCGGAAAAGAAACTTTATACCATATCACAAATAAAAAAAAACATGAATAAATTTTAAAAAAAATTGAGATATTAGGTTAACGAAGTTGTTTCAGTCTAGATTTCGACTTTTTATAATCACTGTACATTGATGTACAAGGTAATTCACATAATATTCTATCCTTCTTATCTTTTTTACTTTTCTGTGTAGAAAAAAGTTGTAGAGACGGAAGCTTTGGTAAATTTTCCTGCAATATCAAAGAAGTACATAAAACAATTGGATTGAATTTCTCAGATAGAACCAAACTTGTGTTAATTTTTAATAGAACACCTATACTTTTGATTATTTACTGATCCTCTACAATGGATAAACCCAAGATTGTCATGCAAATAGTGCGTTTGTTTGATCTTCTCTATTATATTTGCTGAGTAATCCTTTGGAAAAATAGTTTAGTAAAATAGTAAAAATAGTATGCACAATTCAACATGTTCTTTCTTAATATATTACCAGATCCTTTTTTGTTTAATTTATCCTTCTAGAACAGAATGACGGAAAACCTTTTATAATAAGATATTATTCCAAGAATTTAAAAGATATATTTAGTAAATGTAAAGTAGAAGAGCATACACACGCATTAGTTGCATAGTAATCTTGACTTTATTCATTTTTAAGGGATATGGTAAGCATCTTCCATAATATCATTAATTAAAAAGTTTATTCCGTTTAGTGACATACTAGTCATGCTCTCATAGATAATATATGTCACATGTTTTGTAGGTTATATCCCGCTAACACTTAAAACTTGTCCTAGCTAGTTGCGGTAAAAGGTGGGGAGAGGTGATTCACATTTGTAGAAGTATAATTGATGCTCAGACTGTTGAATACAGCTTTAGTAAATGTTTATTTGAGTTTACTGGGAAGAAGGAAATCAAGTACACTTGAACATTGAAGTATTTACTTCAAAATATTTTATTTTCAATACAGGAATATAGGTATCTAACTTTTATGCGTGAGTTTAACCTCCGAAAGTATTTACAGCCAAATTCAAGCTCTCGTCAAGTACTTCCCTATCCCCAGCTAAGTTAGAAACGGTCTCCAGAATGTTGCTATTGTGTGTTTATTTGTTAAATTTGATGACTATTATAGTGTCGAACGACAAAATAACACTATACAGGGTGTCCCAAAATTCATGCAACAAAATTTGGTCACAGATTCTTAAGACAAATTAAGGGACCCGTATTTTTTATTTTTGCCAAGTGGCCCCCTCTTTCGGAGTTACAGCTCCCCGAAGTCCGCCTCTAGGAATAATCTTTTTTTTTTTATATCTCAGAACCCTGTTGTACGAGAATCAGTAAATTTGGTACACAGGGGTTTTATGACATGTGGAATCTGATGGTGCTACGTTTTTTGGCGGGGAACCCCTTTAAGACAATTTTTAGTGGGCACCCTTGTCTTTGAAGCCAAAAAAATTTGGTCGCATATTTAAATTTCTTAAAAATTATCAGTCCACTAGAAAGCCATTAAATTTAGAAACTTTTTGTCCCTTTATAATTTTTTCGTAAAACGCAATGTTTCCGAGAAAAATGGAAACATGTGATCGAATGCATATCGTGATTCGCGATTTTCCTCAAAACATTGCGTTTTACGAAACAAATATCAAGAGCCAAAAAAGTTTCTAAATTCAATGGCTTTCTAGCTAACTAAAAAAAAAATCAAACTTGCGATCAAATTTTTCTGTTTCCAAAGACAAGGGGGCCCACGAAAAAGTGTCTTAAGGGGGTTTCTCGCCAAAAAGCATATCACTGTGAGATTCCACATGTCATAAAACCCCTGTGTACTAAATTTAGTGATTCTCGTACAACATGGTTTTGAGATATAAAAAAGACTTCTTAGGGGCAGATTTCAGAGGGCTGTAACTCCGAAAGAGGGGGCCAGTTGGCAAAAAGAAAAAACACGGGTCTCCTAAATTTGGCTTAAGAATCTATGACCAAATTTTGTTGCATGAATTTCGGGATACCCCGTATGTCCTCCTTTTTTAAATACAGGGTGTCCGCGTTTTTTGAAGCAGGACTTTCACAACTTGTACTAAAAGTCCTTTAAAAAAAGTTCATGTAAACATATATGTATAGATGCGTCGTTTTCGATTTACAGAGTGTTCAAGTTTAAAATGAGAATTGATTTTATATTCGTAAAACGAAAGCCCCTTTTTAAACTTTGTTGAAACTTGCCGACTTTGTTTGTAATAATAATACTCATTTTCGCACATAATTTAATTTGTCCTATTTTCTCCAGTGGCGTCACAACAAGATACCAGCTTGATAAAAATAGAAAAAAATATGGTACGCCACTGCTTTTTGGTAAGTTTGAAATTTTTCTCAGATTTAGCTATCAAAAATACAACTTTTTTGTGATCAAATTTTTTTCCTATCTCGCTTTGTTTAGTCAGAAATAAAACACGTTCATGAATAGGTTCGAGATTTGCTTAATTTATTTATTTACTTGTTACAAAGTGTGCCGTGAATATGTCTGTTTTTGAGTTGCCAAGTATTTTTTGTTGGGACCTTACATTCTGCCCAATTGATTAAGCGGTCAATTATTTCTTGAATTTTTAACTACCCAGCATGATAACATGTTAGATGATGTTCCTTTTCAACAAAGAATAGACTCGTGTTTTCAATTAGATGGATGCCTCTTTCCAGTACTCTTTGGTGGTACGAAACTGACTGAATACAGAGTATCCACAGAGATGGGTGGATCGTGGAGGTCCAGTTGGGTGGCCTCCGCGATCGCCTGATCTAACACCTTTGGATTTGGATTGGATTTGGATTGGATTTTTTTGTTTGGGGATTTATTAAGGATGCAGTTTGCTCTACGCCTGTTAACTCGCAAGCTAATTCAAATAATTTTGAAAGTTTTTCCAAAAACCTGTCGAATGAAGTCAAACACGAAAAAGTAAAAATTTTATTTACATTAATCTAGTTATAGTGTCCACACTTTTGTTTATTCAAAATTTATTTTTTTCTAAAAGATTTGTGTTTTATGCNAAGCGGTCAATTATTTCTTGAATTTTTAACTACCCAGCATGATAACATGTTAGATGATGTTCCTTTTCAACAAAGAATAGACTCGTGTTTTCAATTAGATGGATGCCTCTTTCCAGTACTCTTTGGTGGTACGAAACTGACTGAATACAGAGTATCCACAGAGATGGGTGGATCGTGGAGGTCCAGTTGGGTGGCCTCCGCGATCGCCTGATCTAACACCTTTGGATTTGGATTGGATTTGGATTGGATTTTTTTGTTTGGGGATTTATTAAGGATGCAGTTTGCTCTACGCCTGTTAACTCGCAAGCTAATTCAAATAATTTTGAAAGTTTTTCCAAAAACCTGTCGAATGAAGTCAAACACGAAAAAGTAAAAATTTTATTTACATTAATCTAGTTATAGTGTCCACACTTTTGTTTATTCAAAATTTATTTTTTTCTAAAAGATTTGTGTTTTAGGCACAATTTTGTGCTATTAATTATTAATTTCATTTACAGGAAGGCCATTGGAAAAATCGGTCCTAAATAAAACGTAGAACTAGTAAAATCTTTCTATTGTGGCTATTTTTATGTGTTGCTCTTTGACAAGGTTGAGAACAATAAGAATACAAGGTATTTCTTTGAATGATCACATTATTTAACAATTGTTTTTGTATTAATAATATTAATAGACGAATAGACTAGTTGTTATCCGCAATGCCATCAGTTAAGAATCTTGTTCATGAGATTAGATATCTTTTGCATATTTTGATTTTTGGTGTCGAAGAACATTATTTGACTTTATTTGATAGTATTTTAGAAAACGTTTTTATTATTATTTATTATTTCAATTAGCTTATAATTTTATAATGTGTAACATGTGTATGTAAAACTGTATGTCCTTGTTGCAAATAAGTTCTCTGAAATAAATAATTTCCTTTGTTCAATTATCTACTGAAAGTATTATAGCGAACATTTAATAATTTCACACATTTAATTCATGATAAAGTTATTTTGAAAATTTACATTATCAAATCACTATAAGACATTTTCGATTTTTAAAATTTAGATTTTTATATTTATAAAGGATGCTTTTAACTTGTTACAGAATTTTATTTACTCTGAAAGTTTTGTTATTTCACATAGTATCTACCTCTTTGAGCATTATTTGCCTCCTATTGTAGAATGAAGTCAATTTAAAAACATTTGTAGGCACATAATACTCGATGAAGTCCACCCTCCACACATAATTTTTTTTTCTAATTGCTTAATTGCATGGTCTACTATATTAAAAAATGTGCCAAAAAATTAAAAAAACGAATAGCTTCATTTAATTGTACGTATCTCTATTTGTTAATATGAAAATTTTGTTAGGACATAGGTTCAGTAAATGCTATCTTCAAAATCCAATATTTATCAAACTGAATTTTACAGAAAGAGAAAAAAAATGTTTTAGTTGCAGTGTACACCTTGTTAATATAATGACCTAATGACAAATACAGTCGATCACTATAAATCTGAATATTAGGCTATAATTACAAATATTGAAAATACGGATATTTCTCAAATTAATTCATTGGAAATTCTGTGATTTATTTTTTAACGTATTATTTGAGTTATCGTTCTTTTTTAATATGTAGTATTTTCTTTAATTTAGTCTGTTTAAGATTTCCAATTTGAATATTTATTTATTTCTACGAAGTTTATCATTACAGGATAATATTGGTGCATAGTAACACTCTGTATATGTCATTGCATTAACAAAACCGTTATACAGGGTCAAAAAAAAATTAAGTCTTAGATGTACGTCTATCGAAGCGAAATTTTCCTATTAGTGAATAGGGACAGGTACAATTCAATTAAGCTATCGATAGTTTTTCGGTAAAGAACGCATAATACGATTTTTCAGTCCTTTTAACACTACTCTGAAACTAGGGCAGAAAATTACGTATATTGACCTCATGGATTAGTACATGTAGAAATACAAATTTGAAAATGAATATATACGTTCTAAAATAAGAAAGTGGTGCTGTTCAAAATGTAATACTGAATACAATTTAATATCTACAGAGCCTTCATAAATGTTTACAAGCCACGTGACCAGTCATTTTCATGTTGGGAATTAAATTCCGGTTTCACAGGATAGGCGTAATTTTTCACGAGATACTATTCAACCAATCAGCGATCGCATTATCTCGAGCTCAGGCGTAACGGTTTGTTCATTGGTTATTGTAAACGAATCATTAATATTATTGATGATGCCAATTTTTAGGATTCTTCGTTACCAGTACCAATCGTGCAACGTTGGATTGCCTAAGATCAGCGGTCACATGGGTTGTAAACATTTTTGAAGGCTCTGTATTAATCCAATTTTAAAAGAAACCCACCTTAAAAAGCAATCTTTAAAATGTAGAAATAAGTAACATATATTTTATTGTATACTGTAATAAAAATTATGGTAAAATTACATGGTAACTTGTTGCCATGGAGTGTTCAAGTAAAGTTCATGTAACATTTATGTAATATTAAATATAACAGGTTACCATGGAAAGTTCGAGGAATTTTACCATATTTTTCGTTCTGAATTTCGTGTTGGTCTATGTCTACAGTAATGTATAGTAATTAAAATCAAGAATAAGCTGAATAACAAATAATTTCTTTAATGGTGTAAGGTTTCAGTATGTCAATCAACCCTCTAAGTTCAGTGCTACTAAGAGCCTTAGAATTTTGATGCTAAAGAGTACTCTATAAATTCAATTAGTGATTTTTATTACCAATTGATTTAGAGTTGTTTTTGTGAGAAATACAATTTTAAATACAATGTGCAATAGGACAAAAAATCATTGGCGTAGAAATTTTTTATTATCTAAGGAAACAGCTCCTCAAAAATATCAAAATATATTTCAGAAAGTGTGATATTTTTAAATTTTTACATTATTTATTTCGAAAACGAAACAAAGTATATACGACCCACGTTCATATGAAACATTTTCTTTAAAAATAATTTGTTTTATTACCTCTTTGAATCTATTTCAAAAACACTTTGTATATCACTTTATTTGCCTGATGATAATTAAGGAAAATTTTAAAAATTAACTTGGTTTAGTTTAATAACTCTAAAGTTACGGTTATTTTGTTGTAATATTAGAAAGTAAGTAAAACAGAAGTCATTGAAGTTTGGATAAATAAATGTGTATTTACTACTGTGCATCAGCACAATAAAACTTACCTAAGAACTGAACCACAATTTTTATCACATACTGCGCATTTAGCTGAAACAGGTAAATTTCCCTCCATCCACTGATGGGGCATCATGATGTTCTGAAAAAAAAACGGAAAATTTAGTTACAAGCTTATTTATATTTAGTCTAAACTGTTCCAACAATATCAATTACCCGCTACCCCTTCAAATATTAAAGAAAAAAATATATACGTTTTTTTTCATATATTTTTTCGGTCTGAGAAAAATTATGTATTCCTTATATGTATAGAAATATGCTGATTAGAAATTCATTAAATTCATTGATTTGATTATAGTTAGTTTTTAAATAATTAGTGTAAAAAATTATAAACAACTAACTAAACCAATTAAGTAAAGGTATAATTAATTTGAAACTGATGGTCACAAAACTATTTTTTTTGTATATCTACTCTTTCCTAAGACTGTTGACCCTTTTTTAGTAGCTTTTACGCAAAAAATAACGAAGGTTGCAGCTATTATAAATAAATATGATTTACACATTAATGCCGATTAATTTTTAGAATTTTAATTTCATACGTTTATTGAGTTTTCATGGTTCGGCGGATTGTTCATGAAAGCTGGTGAAGCATTTAAAACTGAACACCTTTGATCGTTTCAAATTAATAATTTCTTGTATTTTAATTTTGATTTAGTATTTGCCACCAGCGAAATAAATAAAACATTTAAATAAACCGTAGCTGCAAAAGGATCATATAGATATTCTTTTAATGGAAATATTTGTCCAAGAAACAGGTCACTATATGAGTTTACCTCAAGCTTTTTTTATCACATTTCAAAAAACTGTCACTTTTCATTTTCATAATTGAAAACGTTGAATTAGACAAATACCTACATAGATTTTTAAAATGTTAACGTAGTGAAAAAATGATGTGTACTCTTAGATCTTAGAAGTAGATATAACGTTTGTTAAAATTTTTGTAATATTGGAAATATTATTGAAGTATTAAAAATAATAAAAGTAATTTTGCTTGCTTGTAATTGTAATTTTGCTTGCTTGTAATTTCGTATTTTCCCTTTTATTTGCTTGATTCGCATTCTGTACCTTGATAATCAGCTTAAGAACATGGACCTTAGAGGAATATTTTTATTCCATATTTACCCACCTTTTTCTAAGAAGATATTTTGTAATATCTAACACTAAAACTTTTAATTATAATATTAATACTGAGACAGACATTATGAATCAAACTTCTGCATGATTACCCTCATTACGCACGACCTGTTCACGTTAATGCTTTCTGTTTGCAACCGATCCAGTTTCCGAACATTTATGTACTAAATCCTGAACGTACCGATGCGAAGTGTTTTTCTTAGGATGACGATCATTATTATTCATTATTCTTGTAGACAAACTAATTATTTCCACTTTTTAAGCATTGTATAAACCATTATCACGAACTGGAATTCAATCGACTTTGTGATGATTTTACGGGATATTGTCGCGACAAGACAAGACGAGACAAAATTGTCTTGTTTAAGGTAAAACAGGTAAAAAAGTTGAACTGATAGAGTATGAAGGTTTTGTATTGACAGATAAACGAAAAATCAAAACAAATTTTTTATCGAGAAATTGTCGAAGAATGTCGTTAGATAACGCCCGAAATGCTTCGAAATGTTCGTTCGGATGTGAAAGATTTTATTATTGTATGGAAGCGGAGGGAAACCAATTTGAACACTTAATAAAATAACATTCTTTCATTCATAGATGTTTTGTCTTATTCTTGATGAGTTTGTTAGTCCAGTCATTGAAGGTAAAATACGACGTTACTGTATAATTTTCCCAAATAGCACCGATTTGCACCAACATTTGGATTTAGGTTCTACTTACCTTCTACTTCAAAGTTGACCCTGTGCCGGGGGTTGCTTTTTATTTTTTAGGGGTGAAAACTACCCCTATTCGAAAATAATTATAGAATTGTTGATTCGAGCATATAATAGGTTGAAATCATCTTTAAATAAGTAATTATGATGAATTGAAAATTGTCAATTCCTAAAAACCACCCCACTACGACAGTAATCATTAAAAAATAATGTTGAAAAATATTATTCAGCAACATGGAATAATTTAATCATATAGTGATATTGATTTCTCTACTGTTTTAATTGTTAATTTTTTATTTATAAGTTTCAACCCTTATAAAAATCCCTTGCAAAAAACCCTACTGATTAAAATTTGCAATCAATAATAGGGAAAATAAGAATTTTATTTTTATATGGATTTTAATTCTTTTATTTTTATAACAAATTTTTTTTTATTGCAAATAACATATAAATAATCAAAAATCCTCTTCACCCTCGTCTTCCTTTTCTATTCTATTCTATTCCTAAAATTCCTATTTCTATTCCTAAAATATAGCTATATAATGTGTATTGATCAATGCTTCAATATACGTGTTCTGATATCTGCAAAAATATGCGATTGGTTTTACACCCATAACTCGCTTCGTTTTTGACTATCAAGTCCTTCATAAAACCATTTTGCAGGTTTTTTCAAGGGCTATAAGATCAAATAAGTTAAATTTTCTTTCAGCGCTTATTTTTGTAAGGGTTTGAGCTGAAAGGGCTTGAACAAGTTGCTATTTACGAACATTTGCAAACTTTAAACGGCCATATCTTACATAATTTTTATCCTACAGAAAAAAAAAACAAAATTTTTGAAAAAGCAAAACCTACAATTTTATACTCTATAATATTTTGTGTATCATTAATACAGTTTTTGAGTTGTTTTGAAGAAAAGACCATCTTTTTCAAAAATACAAAAATTCTGTTTTCACTTCAAGCTCTACTTTTTTCAAAACTATGCACTATACTCCGATCAAACTTGGGTCATTGGGGTGGTAATTAAGGGGTGATTTACGCGATTTTTGTCGCCGAAAAAAATACGGACCAACTTTATTTTCGTCATAATTCGCTTAGGTTTTGTATAGGTTTTTTCAAGCACTTAAAAAGATTCTGAGTATACCCTGAAAATGAATTTGTTTTTGATTATTTCACGTTTAAACTTTCAATTTTGGCGTTTGACGAATAAGAACCAACCTTAAACAAGCTATTACTCCTCTTGTCTACAGACACCATAAATACACCATTCTTTTTGTTTTTTTATAAGCTATATTTTTTATAAAAATGATTTTTTTGATAAAATACTTACTTTTTGAGTTATTCGAGAAAAATCGTCTGAAAAAGCGGTTTTCTTGGTTAAAAAATTTACACTTTCACTCGCGAATAAGTCGAAAAGTATTGACTTTCAGAAAAAACTTTATAGAACAAAAGCTGCTTAGAATTAGTCAATATACAGGGTGATTCATTAACAATGCGAAAGTCGAAAGCTGAAGATACTACACGTGAAATGGTGACCATTGGCGCAAACATGCCTTATCCGAAAGTTAATAGTATCGGAAATACAGGGTGTTGAAAGTTAAAATTTTAAATCGTTTTTTTGCGATTATTCTGAAAATATGTAGGTTAGGAACTTGAAAATTTGTGAAACTATTTTTTTTAGGCGACGAATAAGATGCGTGTTGTAATTTCAGCATTGCTCATAGAGGGCGCCACTTATGACCAATGCTGAAATTACAACACGCATCTTATTCGTCGCCTAAAAAAATATAGTTTCACAAATTTTCAAGTTCCTAACCTACATATTTTCAGAATAATCGCAAAAAAACGATTTAAAATTTTAACTTTCA